AAAAATTCAGAACTCTCTGTTAAGTAAAAATATTGTCAATTGTGATGTTGGAATGTAATCAAATCCCAATTATTATTAAAATTAATAGTCAACATGTAATTTAAATAGAAATTTTTGATCGAAAATATCCACACCGCCTTTTATTGGTATTGAATAATTCTTTTCAATGGTAGAGCATGTAATTTCTTGTGCTTATTGAAAATTCTCTTTGGAATAACAATAGCTGGCGCTTTAATCGGAATTTTTAAAGATCCCGGGTTATGATTGCGTGGAGAACACACTGATTTTTTGACAAGTAAACAATAAAGTGCTTTCAACCTATCCAGCCTCCAAAACTGAATTGCGCATGCGTGTGAACGTGTAGGTGTAGATAAGCGCATGATAAAAGGTAACGTAAAGACGTCACAGTCATCGCTTTGCTTGCGTCATCCTCTTTTTAGATTCTAAGCGATGCGTTGGCCGTCAGCGGAGGTAAGGGCCTTTCTTTTTTTTCCCTCTCTACCTTTCCAGGTGTGAAATTAATAGGATCATCTGAAATTATTGAATATTTGCAGGTGATATATTTGCCAAACATTTATTTCTTTCGCATTTAGGTTATTATTAGTGAAAGTTATGAATATTCAATTAAGAATTTTTAGTTTCTATTCCAGCTACCCCGATAACGATTGCGGGCGTTCATTCTGTGTTTACGGTTTGCTTTGTTCAAACTCAATATTTTGTTGCGGTTCTCGAAAGGAAAAGTTCTGCTCTATCTTTCCAAAATATTAACTATTTAAAAGTTAACATTTTTGTTCACCTAATGTTATGGATCTTCATATTTTTATTGCTTTTTTTTTCGTGATTAGTGCTCTTAAATTTAGCACTTCGAGTAGGTGATTGTTGATATTTTCTTCTCGAGCTGACGACTGTTTGTATTTTCTGCGTGCGTATTTATTTATTTACTTTTTTTTTTTAAATTTTGTGAAGTTTAAAAATTTTTCAATATGCACAACTATTGATTTTTATTAAACGAGATTTCTTAACGTTAAATTCATTATTTTTTTTATTTATATCTTATGTTTTGAGTTTATTTTGAGAGTGAAATTAATTCCACTGTTACTTTTTCTGACTGTTACTGTTTAATTTTTCCCTCCCTCTTAATAATTCCCGTGTATTTCGATATGTACGATATTTATTGTCAGCAATAATAATAATAAAAAAAAAAACATTTTTTCTTCATGGGAGTTATATTAGATGAAAATATCACTCGTCAAACAACTAAGAAACATTCGTTACTGTATTCATTCAATTAAAAAAAATTTTTTTTTTATTTTTACGTATACAACAATGAAGTTGACAATGGCGTTTCTCTGATAACCATTTGAAACTTTTATTTTCTTTCTTTTCCGTTTTTGTTTTAATGAAAACCATATTTCAGCTAATTTATTTTCAATTTATAAAAATCAGAAAATTATAATCAAATTGAGAACTAGACTAGCTGCTGTTCCAGAGACCTTTAAGAGAATCCTTCCAGAGAATTTAACTGTCTGACGTACCAATTCCAAGGGTAATTATGGATGAAAAAATTAAGTATTTTCTTTAATTTATGTATTCACAATTTCTAAAGATATTTATTAATTTACTCTCGTGGTAACGCCAAAAGAAAGTAGATCCTTTAGAGTTTCACAACCGGAAAAATAAATAAGTTGGGAACCGCTGCTTATGACAGTTAAATGTTTTTCTAGTAAAATATGCAATAGTCTAGTGTCTCTGTCCAGTGCCCTGCAGAGGGGGGGAGGAGTGCGAAAGAATTAATGTCAGGCATCTAGCCTAAAGGGTGCATCCAATTCATGACAAATTAAAACTTAAAATTTATTACCATTTTTATTGTATTGAATTATTTTATAGGTAAATATTTGTCTAAAGTGTTATTTCATGAAGTAAAATTAAAGTTATAAACAATTAAAATTTAGTTTTTTTTTTCCTTCCCATTTATGGAGAAAAAAAATCGATTTTTGTAGACATTAAGTTTTTTTAATAGAATAATTTTCTTACCTTCATTAATAGTAACTCAAAATATAAATATCGAATGTTCTTTTCAATATTTTTCTTTAGTTTAAATTGCCGTTTTAGCCCCCATGAGGGTGCTTAAAGATGCTTAGTTTTTTAAATCATAAAATGCCTAACACAACTAAATGACTGTCCAGTTTTTTTTTAAAAAAATTTTCTGTTTTGTGAAATACATTGTCGTTATTTTTTAAATCTGAAATTAAAACTTTTTTATGTCCAAGTATGGATAATGTGAATGTGTAAAAATAGAGTTCTGTTTTCGTGCGGGGGGAGAGGTGGTTGCAAACCATACCTTTCAAAAAAGTAGTTTTTTTCCCCCTAAAAGAAAAAAGAATTACTTCATCAACTCCTTTTGTCAATGGAAGTTTTTTGTGAAAGATTTGTTTTCACAGTAAAATAAATTGTGAAGGGCACATTTTTACTTAAGTAATATTTGTAAAGAATCAATTAACTAACCCAAATTTCTTCGATATAGACCCCTAGTTATCTGGATCATTGACGAAAATAAATATTTCCGTTTCCGTTTGGTCTCTTATAAATTGAATTTGGTTCAGCATTACCTGCATCCGGTTCATTAATCATTAAACTACTTAATTCCATTGTACTGCATCAGAAATGGGTTTTGAATTAAATTGCATTTTCACTCTATGTATTTTTTCCCTTTCCCATCTGAAGTGTAATTTTAAACTCATGCACACACCATCAGGTGTTTCTAAGGTTTCTCTATACTTCTGTATTTAACAGGCTTCAAACTTCGTGTCATATTTCTTAACCCTCGCAATTTTTTGCTATTTTTCTTTTTCAATCCGTAAATAAAACTATAAAATTTTGTTTTTCTACTCTAAATAACTAAACATTATTTAAAGTAGCGTTGTTGGTTATTGTCAACAATTCCTTCGGCGACCGATTTTCTTTTTTTTTAATACTGAAATCAACTTTATTACTCGGAACAAAAAGACTACTGTTTATGATTATAATACCTTATTTAGGCTTGATTAATTATTTATTTATTTTTTCATTTGTGCGAGTTGCTATTTTTTAAAATTAAAATGTTTGTGATGCAATGTGAAACATTTGGATTCCCATTTGTTCAAACGCGACCCCTTAGAGCCCCCTTAATGTTTCTTGCACAGTAAATCTTGCAATTTATCAAAGAACAATAAGTTTAAATGAAAAGAATCGTCGTCAAAATGGTTACAACAGAGAAATAACTGAAAATGTGAGCTGAGTTTCCATTTTTTTTTGCGATATGCGCTTGACTAAATGATAGTAATTAATTATAAATTAAGTTGCCTCTCGTTATTTCAAGTTAATCGTTGGGCATGAGGAAAAGAATAAAGGGGTCTGTAACAAAAGTTCTTATTAAGATAGCAAAACTATTATCGACAAGTAAACTCAAACTTTACCAACATTTTTAAAACTAAAGAATTTCCAAAGTATCACTCAATAACTGAGTTTTATGCCATTTTAGCTATAGAAAAGACTGTGACAGCTGACTCAGTATTAATTAATATGGAATCCTGTATAAAAGAACACTAAGTGCCAATTTCTATTCATTAAAAAAAAATTATTTCTTTATAAGCCACTGTGAAAAGAACTGAAACACAAACACAAATCAGACGATTACGTGATTTAGGATAATTGTTATCCTGCACATTTTACTTCAGATCATTTGTAATTTGTTTTTTTTCTTCCATTAAGTCCTATCTTGTCATTTCTCTCTATTGCTGTATTTTCATTAAACTATTCTTTATTTTATTTATTTTTTTTACTCTTAATGAGGCTAAAAATAGAATTCTATTTATCGAAAACTCAAAAGAAAAATAATGTATTAAGATTCCATACATCTATCGATATCCATGTTGGGGGGAAACGTGGGAGATGACGTCGGTAATAGGCTATTTAATTTATTGAAGTAAAATGTCTTTTTTTCCATTCATCATTTAAGGTTCGATTCTTATGTTTTGTCAAAGTTTCTCAGGCGGGACGCCGTCCTTAGTGTTGATTGGTTTTTCTATGTTTGGCCTTCATACCAGGTAACCCGTTGCCTTATTGATCGAAGATGCATTAGGTTGATATATTTTGTATTTTAAATCATTATGTTCTGTTGTGGCCGGCGGTGATAGACGCATAAACGAACTGACGTCAGAAACTGATTTGTCTTGTCTAGATGTTCTTAGTTATGTTTTCATAAAGTTCGATAATCCTGTTCGTCGAATTTTAAGAATAAAAATAGTTTTATTTTAACCTGTCGTTCATGCACCCAAGCAGTACACCCTTTGTTCTTTGTATTTAAATTGTACTGGTTTTTCTTGCAAAGATAACTAAGTTCGTGAAACACCGCAAAGAACCTGCTTTGGATTGAAAGAAATTTCGCTAAGTTCTTTTACCCTTCCACCCGCCGGTGTTGCTATGCGGTGAATATTGTTTGAGTGGTTCTGGTGTTGCCATGGGAACAGCTTGTAGCAGCACTGTCGTCGACGCGAATGCTTCGGAAGATCCGCAAGAAATGGCTGCGGAAGACGAGGCACCTTTTTATGAAAATGAATTGGTATTTATTTTAATTTTCATTTCTAAATTTCGCCCAATTGTTTTCGTATTTAAAATTATTTTATCAACTTTTGTTTTTCCACCGTTATTGATTTCACGTTTGTTTACTCTTTTCTTATTTCCTCGCTAATATGCCCCATTCAGAAATATAGCACAATTTGCATTTAAATATAGCACATTATTTTAAGGTTTCGTTTTTTAATTTCTATAATTTTTATTTAAAAAAAAACGTGGCTGGAAATTTTTTTATTGGTTATTTGTCATAATTATAGTACAATAACAATATATTGAAAATATTTAGTTCATTAGTTAATTTCAAGCATTTAGTTAACTGAGTGTTTGAAATAACTATTTAAGTTTTGTTTAAATATTTAAAAAAAATAAAATAAAAATATTTGTAGGGTGAAATGGCACAGAATGGGTCTTCCAACCAAGAGAATGCAACTTCCAACAACATTGATGAAGGATTATATTCCAGACAACTGTAAGTTATTTTTCTTTTCATCCTAAAACTTTAAAGTGTTATTGTTTGGGAGTTCTGATGTTTGTTTAGTTATAATTTCTCAGTAAAATTGTTATGATTGGGCGATACTAGAAATAAGAATCAAAAGTTTAAAAAAAATTTCTTAAAGAGGAATTAAAAAATTTTAATATTTTACCAGTAAATATTCATTGAAAGTCAAGAATTTTCTCTCATTCTTAAACATACTCTATGATATACGGGATTATATTATCAAATTATACTCCTAATTATTTTTTTAAAAAATTAGTATTCAGAGATGATTGTGTTCTGGAAATCTGGATTTTCGAATTTTTCGCCAACTGGGATCCAGAAATCCAAGGTCCAGAAGTTTCAATAAATCATTGATAACATTTGTGTATAAAAAATTTTTTATATTTTTATTTAACAACATCTCTTTCATTTGTAAATATTTTTGTGATTAGATATTAAAGTAAACTTATTCATTTAAATTTTACTGCTTACAATTTTAATTACAATTTCATGTTTTTAAAGTATAAATGATTTAAATTTATAAAGATATTAATTTTTTGATGTATGTCTTTAATGATTTAAAAAAAATTTGAGAATTTATATCAAATTTATTTAGGGATTTGGTGATCATAAAGACAAAAAATTTTAAAATTCAGTTTCATATGACTACTTTAAATATCCAATGATTTGTAATATATAAAAGACAAAATGAAGAAAAAATAAACTTTGTCAAAAACTTTTTGGAATTAAATTGGTTATGCTTGTCAAGTTTTTAATGTGTGTCATGAATTTTAAATACATTATATGCTATTTTACTTATCAAATTAACCTATATACATTAAATAAAACTTATATTATTACATAAATATACTTGAAGTATAGACCTCTAACTTGAAAAAAACATTTGATGGAAATTCTAAAGATGCAAAGTTGTTTTAAAAAAATCATTCTAAACTTTGATCGGGAAAAAAATATTTTAATAGTTTTCTTGGTCATGTTTTTATTATGACACTTTAAGAGTTAGTTTGCTAGAAGTGCAGATTATTAAGAATCATTTGTTATATTAAAATTAATGCTTTTAATAGCTATTTGTTGACAATTCCATTGTTATAATTTTAGATATATTGCTGTAGTGAGAATTTTGAAGTAAAAATTTTGAAATTCACAAAAAAAAACTAAATTTTTATTCCAATAAAAGTGAAATCTAAAACAATAATTACTCTTTGTAAAAATTTTGCATCTATTTTAATTCCTTGCAAAGATTAGAGCTCTCAAAATAAAACAAAAGAAAAAATTAAGGGTTTGTTTATTTTGTTCAAATCTAAAATCTCTAATATATTTTGTGTTGATTTTATGATAATGTTTATATATTAGTGTATATATTTATACTTTCAGGTTTTAAATATATGATGAAGTTTTAAATAGCACTCCAAAATTTTTTTATCTTTTCGGTTTTTTGAAAATTATCAAAAGTTAAAATCTGGAACTGGTTTTTGGCAACTCTTAAGAAATAAATTATCTTACTGGTCATTCAAATAACTTGTGATAGTATTACTATTACTAGGACATCAAATATTTTCAGTTTGTAAATAACTTATAACATTTTGAATTTTTGGCATTAAAAATAATATACTTAGCTATCAGGGTTGGGTTTTTGACATGACAAGGGTATAATACTGGTTTAACCCGTCAAAAATGTCAAAAACTGAAGTTTGCCAAGAAAATATATAACATTGCATTTACTTTTTCTNCCAACCTAGTTAGCTATATATGAATGCAGATATCTAAACAACATGAATGAAGTAAAAGTGAGTAGTGTCACAAGAAAAAGGCATATTGTGTTTCCTTCTCTCAGTCTGTGTTTTGACACTTTTAAGGTTTTATCAAGCTGAAACTATAGTATGTCTGTTTTTGTGGCATTATTTGTTCGTTATTTTTGTTTTTTATTAATAAATGCAATGTTGAAATAGAAGAGAATTTCTGTTCTAACTTTTAAAAAATATAGTATTTTCAGATGCTTTAATATTTCCTATAATATTTCCATTTCAGCTATGTTTTGGGTCATGAGGCCATGCGGCGTATGGCTACAGCAGAAATACTTATTTGTGGCGCTAAAGGTTTAGGTATTGAAGTGGCAAAGAATATTATCCTTAGTGGTGTGAAAAGTGTCACCGTTCACGATAATAATTCATGTGAAATAAAAGATCTGTCTTCTCAGGTATGTTTGTATTAAAAGACATTTTATTATTAAATTCAGTCTTAGCAATGATTTCAGAATAAGAATGCAATAGGGTTAAAAAAAGATTTTTTTTTTTTAAATCTTAATAACTTAGATAGGTTTTTTAAAGACTTTAAAATATATTTCTTTTTAATGAAAAGACTAAAATTCATTTTTCCATTTCCTTCCATAATACCAATGTAATTTCAAAATTAAGTGTTTGTAACATGTTTGTGTTAAAATCACTCTCTCCCTCTCTTTTTTTATGTATTTTAACTAATAGTGAATCTGTTTATTAAGAATTTTGTTCTGCCCTTGTATTTATAATGATGCTAAACGCGCGTGCAATATGGTTGTAGGGCAGCAGGCAACAAGAGCTCGCTGTGGTTTAAATTACTATTGATTATTTTTTTTCTCCCAACTACTTAATTCATTTATTGACATTTGCAACATATTGAATTACTTTTTTACAATTTTAGAATGAGGATTAAATTGTTATCAGACATAACGATTGGTTCTCTGTTTAATGACTTAAAAAGCCTCATGCCAAATAATCCTCGATAGAATTTGTGTAATATCAATTGTTTGTTGCAAATTACCGTTTTTATTTATTTATTTTCTTTGCTGGCACAGATTTTATTAGTTTAAGAATAAAAAAAAACATTTTAAAAAATCTTATTACATCAATTGCCGTCTCACTTAAATAACTTTTCCCCAGTTTTTGTAGCCCATTATAGAGACAGTCTTCCGTACTGGATAATTAGATATTCGTAGTAGTAGTTGCATAAAAAGGATGTCTCTATCATTTCAATTTTGATCTTGCTTTCTTCATGGGCATCCTAAATTTAATCTAAATCTCTTAACTCAATTTTAATATTTTCTCAGTTTAAGAAATTCTATAATCAAATATCTTTCTTTTTTCTCTCTACCTCAATACAACTAATTTAAGGAAACTTAATGCAGGTTAAAGTATTCTGCCCTGAAACAGAATGTAACTTGTCCTGAAATAGGGATTATCCTTAAGTAGAGTTGTAAAATAGAGATTAAACTGTATTATAAATTTGCAAAACCATCAAGTAATTAATAAATTTTTCTTTAGATACACTTTTTTTCAGATCATACTTAATCTTTTTTTAATGTCTAATTTTATAAAGTTGAAAAAGTTAGGTATGTATATTATTAGTGATCAACATGAGAAGCGAAAGAAATTAATAGCAAATAGAAATGTCCGATGTTCCCTAAACAACTGACTTTATGGTGCAAAAGATGCTAGAACATATTAAAGTGTTGTGGAAAAAAACAGCTTTTTTTAGAATTTAATGAATAAAAATGTATGTTTATTTATAGATTGGTATTTTTAACTTAACATTTCTCTACAGTATTACCTGACAAAAGCTGATGTTGGTAAAAACCGAGCTGAAGTTAGTGTGGAACACCTCAGAGAACTTAACCGATATGTCTCTGTTCATGCTCATACAGATAATCTCTCTGAAGATTTCTTGAGGAAGTTCAGGGTATGTTTATTACTTTCTTAATTTTGGTATACAAATGCATTTACATGATTTTATGATAGGATAACCCTATGTTTGGTTAAAATGTTATGCCTTGCTTATTGTTTAAAAAGAAAATTAAGTAATTTTAATACAATATTATCAGGTCTATTTGAACTCCCATTTTTAACTAACATGTGGTGATTTTTGTGTTCGTTCAGGGGATTAGTGATTCCCTGAATTTAAATTTGTAAAAGAAATTTCCAACTAATTGCAACTCTGTTATCCAAAACTAAACACAAAATAGTTTGGAAAAAAAATCTTCAAATTTTTGTCATCTTTTAATCATAAAATATTGATAATCAATTTAATAAAATGTCATAAAAAATTTGCGCTTATAAAAAATTTGCACTTTCACTGCAGCATTCTGTTTTTTTTTCCTTCTTTTTTTTTAAGCAATTTTAAAGTTACACAGGTTTCAAATGCTGAAACCATTTATAAATTATATCATTTATTTTTCAATTTTTAAGACTCTTGAATTAAGTTAAAAAGTTAGCTTAAGTAAATTTTTTTTTTGCTATGAAATTTTATAATGGAGAATTGAGAGTCACATACTTCTTTACTATTTTTTAGGAGAAAAATAAATCAAAATTTTTGAGATGCATAGTAGTTGTTCCACAAATTTGAATTGATCTCTCTGTATAGGTTGTTTAAAATGATTATAATCCAAATAATTATTCCTTAATCACAGAATTTTACAATTGCAAACTAAAGAGTTCTTCACTAAATAGTTTTTTATTTACAATTTGGTGCAAAACTAACAAAACACTTTATTTCATAAAGAAGTTCAGATTTTTAAAAAAATCTGTTGATCAAATTACAATTTTATAAACAGTGTATCACCGTGGCAGAATTGTGGCGACATTGTCTCAGAACTAGGACTGGGCGATATTAGAAATTATGTATCGTGATGCATCGTCAGTTTTGCATCGCGATATAGCGATGTATCGCGATATAGTATTTTTGAATTTCATTTACTTGTAAGGTACAGAAAGTCAATTTCTATCAAAACTTCATGCTCAGATTGATTTAAATCAATTTATAAATTTGAAGATATCTATGTTTTGCTTAAGAAAGATATTAAATAAATTGTCTACAATGTACAAATCTTACTTAAAATATTTATTGAAATGTTTGTTTAGAAATTCATAATACACGTAAAACAAAGTGTTAACATTTTTTTAAAGCGTTTTTTTACGAATTAATATTTTCTTGTACTATTATGCATACATAATTATCAAGTTCGATCGTAATGTTCAATTTCTAAATGAAGCGTTAAAAATGATTTGTATGTTTAAAACAAAGTGCTAAATAAATTTTTGAAAAAAAAAAAGCTTTTAAAACACTATTTTTTATTATTATCATTTCAGTTATTATAGTTCTATTATAGCTCATTTACGTCGCACTAGAGCTGCACAATGGGCTATTGGCGACGGTCTCAGAAACATTCCTGAGGATGATCCGAAGACATGCCATCACAATTTTGATGCACGCGAAGTCGAGCGCTTTACGGTCGAACAGTTAAAGGACCAATACCGCACACCCTCGGTCCCTACGCAGACTGATCCAAGTGGTCACTTACCCGCAAACTGCCCCCAGCCAGTGATGCTTGACTTCGATGATCTGCAGGGAACCGTGTCTTAACGATCAGTCCACTGCGGGACCTTATCATTTCAGATAAATAATTAAATTAAATAATGATCGAATTATGAACAAAAAACAAAGATTTAATTTCTTAAAACTAAAAAAAATTGTGATTTTCGATAATATATTTAGCTAATTAACAAAGAATATGAAAAGAATATTTTTTAAAGAAAATTATTATGCTCTCTAATAAAACGAAGTGCTAAATGATTTAAAAAAAAGAGTAAAATACGCAAACCTTTCAAATTTTTTTGCATAAGCAAAGTTGATTTATTTATGTCCAAATCCAAATGACAGAAATAAATTTTGTTTTAACTTTATTTCTAAAAATAAAAACAACAAGATTTATAAATTTAAAATCGGTAATAAAAACTCATTAAATTATTAGAAGTTTCATCCAAAAAGTTCTTAATAAATTAAAAGAAAGTAAAAAAATAACCTAACAAATTCAATTCTTTATGGGCGCCTAAATTAGATTGCCGATAATTTTCACATTTAAAAATAAAAAGTTTCTTTAAAAAAAAACTTATCTAATTAATGAAGAAACTCTTCTTTATATCAGAATTATCAGTAATATATTATTATATCTTCAGAACAAGGTAACATAGGCGATCACGAAGTTAGTCCCACTAAAAATAATCTACAAGAAAGGTCGCGACAAAGAAAATAAAAGCTAAGAGGTGCGAAAAGGAACAGGCGATATAACGATATGTGTTCTCAAAACTTTGATTCTGATTCTACAGCTCACCAATCAAGGCCATTTCTACATAACGAAACGAGCATCGTCTTCCACAGCGCGAGTCGACATCGGAACGTAAGAGAAGAGTCTTATATCGTTATCTTATATCCTTGCGTGTCTTATATCGTTTTGCGCTCGTTGTCTTTACTCGACGGCTTAAATCAGATTTCTGATGCATCGCCTTGAACGAAAGTCGCTGTATCGTCTTGCCGATATATGCATTAAATCGATATGTCTCGATACATCGATTTATAGCCCAGTCCTACTCAGAACATAACCAATTTTTTGCAGGATTTTTCCTTTGGGATTTTTCCTTTTGTTTTCTCTCCTGCAGAAATTTTTGAAATATCTTTTCTTCAGAATTATGTCCAAAAGATGCCTTTCTCCCTCATGAATAGGGGGGGGAGGAAATGCTTGTGAGTTTTCTATTCTTATTTGAAAATAATGAAGTAAAAAATCTGGTTTTCTTTCCTGCAGAAATTTTTTTTCTATTTGTTTCTGCATAGCTTTTAAAATCTGATATATTTTAATCGATATTTTTTATGACAACAACTGAATCTCGAAATGAAAACATGCTTTTAGTAACTCTGTTTTAAAGAGTTTGATTTGTTCGATTTTGCTTTCGATCTTTTTTTCGGTAGTTACTGCTGTGGATTTAACGATTTTTTAAAAAAATTATGTTTCTTAATGTTATGATGATTTACAAAATGTGAAAAAGGAAATAATTCGTGTGATTCCCTCTACAAAATAAAATAATATTTCTCATAATATTAGAATAAAAAAATTTTACAAAATTATTTTATTTGATTCCCCCCCCCAGTTGAAGTTGTCGTTTCTGTTACTTTAAATTAGTAACATGCATAATTGTTATTTTTAAAAGTATCATGCTGCTAGAGAGTTTTGTCACAGAAAGCCTGAACAATTTCTACCACAAGGCTGTATATTAAATCTTCAGATTCTCTTTGTTAGAAATGATTACAGTTGAATGTTAAAGTAATGACATTAAAGTTTTTAACTGCAATTATTTTATTGATAATAATATTTTTTGTATGTTCAAAAACAGGTTTTGTAGAACAATATCCTAATTTAATAAATAACTGATGTTTAAGTTTATATTTTTCTTCCCTCACAATTTGTTTGGGGTTCAGAGTCTTCTGCGTCGAAAAATATAGCATATAAAAAATATTCTCTGAATTTTTATTACTGAAAACTATATAAGTATGAAGACACTGTTTTTAATTAAAAATGGTTTTAGTATTTTGATTTTTTTTTCACGTTTGATTTTAAATAACAGCTAAATTTGTATAAATTATAATCCAGTATTTTTATATTGGTGGACATGATTATATTGTAATAAGTAAAGTACCAAACTTTAATTTGTTTTTTGCTATTTTAATTGTGGAAATTAAGACTAATTATAAATGTATCTATTAATCTTGCTGTAAGTATATAGCTGTTAATTTCTTGCTTTCAGGTTGTGGTCTTAACTGATTCTTCATTGGAAGAACAGCATACTGTAGGAGATTTTACTCACACGAATAATATTGCCTTAATAATTGCTGATACAAAGGGTCTTTTTGGGTTGGTATTGGATATTTTCATTTTTATAAACTAGCCTGAATTTCTTATTTACACGATTTAACGTGAAGCATTTATTATAAAAAGATTGTTTTTTCTAAATATTTTGTAGAATTTTTATACAATATCGTATTTTAAGACTTCTTTTGAACTTCTCTTTTTTATTTATTTATTATTTTTTTGTGACTAGATTAAGCCACGGTTAAGTACCTTATACTGCCTTGTTGAACAGAATTAATTTGTTTAAAGCTGAAAATTGTCTTAATACTTAAGTTCATTTTTTTTTAACAAAACATTGTTTTGACCAGATTAGATTTAGGCAATCTTTAACCATTAAAAGACTGCTGCTAACTCCCGATGGTTTTAAAATTGTTCTTCATAAGATATTACTTCATATGATTTAAGAAGCTAAATAAAAAACAACTAAGTCAGTTGGTTAAATGGCATCTCAGAAAATTTTGAATCTGTTTTAATGTCTGTGCTTATTTCTTTTATAGTCAAATATTTTGTGATTTCGGAGAAGATTTTACTGTTCATGATGTCAAAGGAGAACAGCCTTTATCAGCAATGATTGCTTCCGTTAGTAAAGTATGTATATATCTGAAATTCTTATTCGCTTTTCTTTTCTTTGAAAAATTTCCATTTTGTGTTAAATTAGTCTTGTTAATTAGCATTACTTCCCAATAGTTTGAATTAACTTTAAAAAAATTTCATATTTTTAATGCCTTTTCTGGTTGCAGGAAAACAATGGTGTTGTTACATGCCTTGATGAAACAAGACATGGCTTTGAAGACGGTGACTATGTAACATTCTCTGAAATACAGGGTATGGTTGAATTAAATGGCTGTGAACCAAGAAAAGTCCAAGTTTTAGGTAAATTTCTTTAGTAATTTATTTTCTACATTTGTAATTTTATTCAAATTAGTTTTAATTTAAATTCTGAACCAATGTGGTAGATATATGCACAAATATTTTCTTCCTAATCAAATCATCCAGTTGTAAACTTAGTAAAAATTTAAAACTGTCTATAGAATCTGTCAGGGTTGTCCTAATTTTTAAAATAGATAAAAATTTCATGGTGATTTTTATCCTTCAAGCTGATTTTTAAAAATTGTTCAGCATACTATGCAATTATTAAACATTGATAGTAATTGATAGATTAGAGCACAATTATGCATTCAATGTATTAAATTTTATTAGTCAGGTGCATATGAAAATTAAGAAAAAATGGAAATTTGTTTTTCTAAAATGAATTGAGTAAAAATCTAAAGCATCAGATATATTTTATGTATAAGTATTTTAATTTTTTTAAAAGGTTTTTAGGCATAACTTATGCCCATTTCAAACTAAATTAATAATTGACTTGTAACATTATTGCACTGATTCATTTGAAAGTTTAAACTGCATATTTAAAAGTAATTAATATGCCAAAAAATATTTTATTTGTAGCTGATAAGGTGCATAACATGAAATTTTTATATACTGGCAATGAAAAACTCATTTTTTCAATCACATTTTAACAGTTAACATAAAAATGCAAGACATGAAAAGCATCCAATATCTGTCATCTTTTTTTCAGGTCCATACACGTTTAGCATTGGAGACACATCAAATTATGGAGAATATATTAGAGGAGGTGTGGCAACTCAAGTCAATATGCCAAAAAAAATTACATTCGTAAGAAAACATTTTTAATGAATTTTTTTAAGATTTTATTTGAATCAATAATGAATTAATTTATAATCCCTACAAAATGTGAACCGTTAATTATTTCCATAAATCATTCCTCAAGGATTATTCATTTCACTTTGTTTATTATTTTTAATCGAAGTTGACATCTGCGTATAAAGAGATATAGCTTTTAGTTATTGGGGAAATTAGAGTATTTACTATTTTTGAAGTATAAAACTTAATCAGCCCTTATGCAATTAGTGAAAATTCTTTTGAACTTGAATTCCATTGCTGCATAATTTAATATAAACCATTTCAAATGTTAACAAAAGACTAAAATTCTGTTTTATTTGTTTGTTAATTCACAATTAAAAACTTCAATGATCATCAGATGTTTTTAAGTGACATGAAATTAAGACTTTATTTGAAACAATAAAATATTTTAAAAAGGAGTTAAATTTTTAAATATTCGTCTTGTAAGTCAAGTATAAGCACATTCTTTGGCACTTTAACCATTTTGGCGAAGGGGTGCACATTTTAAAATGATTTCTCACCATTCAGAAGTTAATCATTTCAAAAATGGTTTAAATTATAACCTGAAAACCAATACAAATTAATGCAATAGTGATAGTTTTATTCAATATATTCCTTGATCTCTTTTTTTACCCATTTAATTTTATGATCAATTTAAGGAGACAATTGTTTTGAAGCAAGACGATTACAATTGTTTTGAAATAGAATGAAATTTGAATAGAATGAATGAAATGTAAGCGAGAAAATTTTTTCACAAGTACGTGTAGGTTCAAATACAGAGTGAAATTGTAAAGCAGGGGTGCACAACCTGCGGCCCGCCAACTATTGATGTGCGGCCCGCGAGATCTTCTGAACACAATTTTCTTCTTTTTTTTTTAACTGTGAAAATTTTGAATTTCTCTTCACAAAATATTAAATCTTAATATGTTACTATAATAGTTAAGTTCTAATTTTTGCTTAAACCCTATAAATTTTCTTTAAAACATTTAGTTCAAATTTATATTACTCATTAAAATAAGTATGTATGTAGTTTTTTTTTTTGCTAATTTATTCTATGAGCATTGTAGTTTTTGTTTGTTCGAGTTTATAGTATCTCTTTTCCTCACATATATATATAAATTTATTAATAAAAAGACAAGAAAAATTTTAAAAATATTAGTTTTTTTTTATTGAATGAATTTAATTTTAATAATTAAAGTATTTAATTTTAAGAAAATATCTTGCTAAATTTACTGATGAAAATATTTATTGTTCAGAGCAATAATTTTGAGATAAAAATTATCATATTTGCCAACCTCATGACTAAATATGTGTGCGGCCCTTAGTCAGTCAACCTGCTGTGCAAGTGGCCTTTCACTCAAAAAGGTTGTGCACCCCTATTGTAAAAGGATTCACCACACCCTTTTTCAAGGTGAATTTCACTGAATGTCTTGACAAGCAAGCCACATGTGGTCTGAGAGTTACTATTTGCAAACCTCTGTTGTAAAAGCTTGATTTTGTGCAACCGATATTTAAGTACAGAAAGATAAATTAAAATTTAATTCAAAATAAGTCTGTACTTGACATGATCTTTTTCAGTAAATGTTCTAATAGTGATTTTTATTTTTTCCAGAAATCCTATAAAGAGTCTACAGTAGATCCAGAATTTGTCATGTCAGATTTTGCCAAGTTAGACTACCCTCCACAGATTCATTTAGCTTTTCAAGCAGCACATGTTTTCAAAAAGAACAATGGCAGGCTGCCCAAACCTTGGAATGCAGTAAATAATATTTATACTTGTATTTTCTCTTTAACTGTTTTGAAAACTTTGCTTGATTTTTTTTCCTTCATGTAATGTATATGTATATATGCATATTTTATTTTATGTATTCACTGTTATTCTGTACGATAGGAAGATGCTGATGATTTTCTGAGTATTGTGAAAGACTTAAACTCGAAGACTGCCAACCCTGTGGACTTAAATGATGACTTGATTCGACGTTTTGCTCATATTTCTGAAGGTGACTTATGTCCCATGCAAGCTGTGATAGGTGGTATAACTGCTCAAGAAATAATGAAGGTAATATTTTTGAGTTATTAAAAAATTAAAGTAACAACTAAGCTGCTGTAATTTTATATCGAATTCCAGAAATTGTATACATTTTTAAGAACTGCATTTAGGTTGCTTAAGATATCTATATTTTCTATCATTGGTGGGGCTCAAATTTTCACTCCAAAAATGTGTGCTTAAGTTTTTATCATAGGGAAAGTAGCAAATGAATTTCCCTCTATTTTATTATATTTTAGGGAGAAAGGGAAACATTAATAATTAAAGTTGGTTAAATAAATAGGTTGTGCGATTCCCACAAAAAGTAAAGGGGAAAGTGTCTTTAATTAATGCGAGTAAAAAATAGATTTAAGGACAAGATGTGAATATAAAAGTGAGAAAGCGTTTTTATATATATGTATGTGTGTGTATAAATTAATATATGAAATTTCCATTCTGATATTCAATTAAATGTTATTCAAAACTCTAGATAGATATCCAGAAATGATTTGTTTATGATACGATTCTAAAGAATTAATATTGTCAAAAGGTATTGGGCAAAAATAAAAGATTTTGCTAATTGCTATTGACCAGTTTTTTAAAATGTGAATACTTTTTAAAATTTAACATGATTGTAAAAGAAGTTGATATCAATAATGTAAAACAATTCTTTTGAAACATTTCTCTAAAACACGGTAAGTGTGAAATAAAGTAATTTTCAGTGTATGAAAGTTTTACATATTTATTTAAAAATAATAAAATGAACATGGGATGCATTTTCACTATAAAGTCTATACCAGCCTTTTTGGTTTTCAACTAAGCATTTGGAATTTACTGTCCAAAACCTGTAATTTTAAAAAACCACTAAAACACTTTAAAACTTCAATACATTTACTACACTTGTATAAAGAGAAAATCTCTAGAATTAAGCAGCTATGCAATGTTTTTTTATTTCTAGGCAAGTAGTGGCAAATTCCATCCTATAGTGCAGTGGCTCTACTTCGATGGCTGTGAGTGCCTACCGGATGAGCCTGTGAATGAAGAATTAGCCCAACCTGTGAGTTTTCTTTCATTTCATTATAAATTTTTTCATTAATGGCACTGTTTACATTGATCATTTGATTGCATTCAGGTGAGAAATATCTCACTTAGCCTATAAAAGAAGACTGATTGAAATATACCAATGAATACAATGACATATTCTGGTTGATACTTCTTTTGGTCAGCTTTCAGTGATGTTGAACCTATTGATTGAAAATCAAAGTTTTGTACAATGTAATTTTTTGTATAAAGCTTTTCGAAAATAAGTGAATTCGTAGGATTATTTAATCTTGCAAACTATTTATTATTTAACCCTTTGACTGCTAACTCCCCCCAGTTAGAAGTCTTCGTTTGATAGTGCACGACCAGCATGCTATACTTTTTCGTGCTATAATTGAGTGGCTGGCGTGTATATACTCATTGTAATATAGTAATCAATACAATTACCAAAACTTTAAGCAAATCCAATTTTTTTTTTTTTAGTTTTCACTTTTTTTATTCGCCAATTATAACGTTTAAAAACACCATGATTTAATGGTTATAATGTGTACATTTGGATATTAAAAATTGAACAAATAACTAGCAAGCAGCATAAACTATTAAACAAAAGCTTTTTTTTTAAAGGTATAAAAAATTAATAGTTCAATTGGGTAATTGGCAGAAATATGCATCCATATTAGTCTAAAGATTAAGATTTTTTTTTTAAAGTATTCATAACTGTTTTAAATAAGAACTTGCATTTGATTTACAGGATTTATTTTGTGCTTGCGAAAATTTGTTTGTAAATAATTGGTAACTTTAAATTATGTGTAAAGTGGTACAATAATGTGTAAAGTGGTTAATAGGTCAACAAATAGTGTTCTGCATTTCTTTTTTCTGAATTCAAACGTCTAGATTCTCTCTCAATACATACATATTTCTCTTGACTCTGAATTGTTGCATAGGGCTTCTAACATAGTTCTCCATCTCACTCTTTTGTGACCAGATATTTTGTTTCTCTCCATGTCTTTCTTATTGTTTTCATTGTCATACTAACTAGAGCAGACATATTTGGTTGAGAATTTCCATCCACTTCAGGGAAATAGATCTGCATGATTTCAGTTTCAGTAAGTTTTTGGGAGATATGGTTCTTGTAGCCTAAGCTATTCTCAACCCCCAACCTTAAGGGCTAGGGTTTTACTCTTAGTCTAGTGTTTAGCTAAATTGAACAAAAGAGAGCTGGTCCTAACAGCATTAAATGTTAACCAAAATAAAAATCGCTAGGGAAAAAAATGTTTTAATGTCAATTATAGCCATAAGTGCTAAGTCATTATGGTCCCAGAGAATTTAACTAATAATTTGTAAGTTGCTATTTGCGTGTAATTAGTTCTACATTTAAAAAAAATACCTATCTGTAAATGATCCTTCTGTTTAAAATAGTGTTGGGACTAATTAAATTAAACTGAGTCTCCTGGTGTAAAACTTAATTGGTGCTGTAAGTTCATTGAAGCAAGATTTAGCTTTTTTATCGTGTACAACAGGAAGCTAAATTATGGTAGAAATCATCTCTACTTAATTTTCTATCCATTTGTAATTCTTTTTAGGATATTAAAAATAAAATATTACTTCAATAGTAAGTTATGATTGGGATTTAATCCATGCAAAATGGGAGAAACTAAAAATGCATATTGTTTAGTTTTTTTTTTTTNAAATAAAGGCCTCATTATGCATTTCAACATTGGCAATATGCTAAATTGTCATGTTTTCCTGTTTGGACCAGCTATTTAAGCTGGTTATTGATACAATTAGTTATTCAGTACAAAATATATTCATTCATATAGCACCCATTTTATCATTTTTGAATCAGTTATTTAGGCTGTTTACTGATTCAATTAAAAATTGTATATCAAGTAATTCCCATCCTACTGACTATAATTAGAGTTAGTACATTTTCAATAATTAGCATTTTAATGTGTTTTTGACAGTTGAAGTAAGTAGAAATAAGCAAATATTTAATCCTGCTTCACATGCAGAATTTATAAAGATTCAGTTTTTATAAAAAAAAAAAGTGGCTCAATTTGGTTTTAAAGTTTTTAAATCACTGGCTTTCTATGAAAGCATCAATAAATTAAACTTCATGAAACCTACTATTTTTCAGAACTGAATTATCCTCATTTTATATTTTCAGGTTGGTACAAGATATGATGGCCAAGTAAGTGTATTTGGCAGCGATTTCCAAAAGAAACTCTCAAACTTAACTTATTTTGTTGTTGGTGCGGGTGCTATTGGTTGTGAGCACTTAAAGAATATGGCAATGATGGGTCTCTCAACAGGAGCTGAAGGAAAAGTAATCATCACAGACATGGATCGCATCGAGCGCTCTAATCTCAACAGGCAGTTCTTGTTCAGACCTTGGGATGTCGGTGTAAGTATTTATAATCATTATTTTTATAACTTTTAACATGTAACACGGAGAACCAAAAAGATATTCTGGGTTGGTTCTAATGATTCAAAAAGTTTTACTAAGAATATGCTGATAATTGTATCAATTAAGCTCTGAAATCAAGGCACATGTACTTTTTCTGAATAAACTTCGACAAATTTACATTTTTGACTAATATAGCAAACTGTAGAAGTTGGATACAGTATGAAGAATAGTATGCCAATAAAACATAATCTGAAAGGTACAATTTTTTTTTTTTTTTTTACATTTAAAACTATGTTATAACCAATTAAGCAAAATTGGTATAAAAGTTCTTAAGTAATTAAAACTAATTGAGGCATGAAATTTTTTAACTCAGATATTATTCTATTGTTCTCGTTTGAATTTTGTTATATAAAATAACTTTAATCTTTCTTTTAAAAAATTGCAGCCATTTAAATTTTTTTGGCCTTTATTAATAAAGACTTTTTTTTTTGCATTGATTTATCTTTGGATAAACAAATTTTCATGCATGTGGAATATGGTAAAAAAGGTAAATTAATATTCAGGGACCAATTTTTTTTTTCCCACTGCGCTTTACTTGCCTGGATAATTAGGGCTGTATTTTTCAGATTGCGAAACCCCCCCCCCCTATATTTCATGGTCAAGAATCCAAATATGTAAATTTTTTGACGATATTTTTTAGTTTAAAAAAATTATTTCTATTTATCTTACCAAAAAACTCACTAGGAAACATTTATATTTTCAACGTAAGTTGATTAGATTTAGAAAGCCTGCATGAATAAAATTGGTAGTCTGTAACTTTAAACTGAATTTTTACTAAACTTATGTTTCTTACTCATGAGCTCAATAAATGCTATTTCAGACAAGCCTGGTTGAAGCTCTCTTATACTCTAGTTAATTTGTGAGGTTTTTGATTTTTTTTCTGTGTAACACAAATATGGGTTTGGTTTATAGAAAAAGTTTTTAATTGTAGCAAATTTGTCCCTTGTTTGTTGCCTGATTTAGGTATGGCAATAAAATCGTAACAGCCGAACTGCTATTTGAATCTTCTCTTCAAAATTGCTTTTAAGATAAAAGTTCTCACATAGTATTAAAAGCAGCGAGTATTTGCAGGGTTGCCACAGTCTACTAAAATGCTACTATTTTCGGCCTTAGGCGACTTTTTTCCCCTGAAAAGGCTAAAAAGCTACTATTTTCAGGAATAGGCGACTATTGGGAGACTTTTTTACTCTTAGCGAAGGTATTTTGATACTTTTTCTTATTTTTCGTAGACCTACTGTTACTTTGCGATTGCTGCACAATCGCTGTTATCTTAAACTTTCGTTCTGAACTCAATAGATCAATGAAAAGAAAATATAAAGTAAAAAAGTTTCTTCATTGGTTTTTTTTCAATTATTATTTTTCATTTTAAGCGATACAATTTAATAGGGGTATTTTATACTTAGTTTTATAGAAAGTTAGTTTTTTTAAAATTTTTTTAATGTAGGTAAGTATAATAATTTGATTATTTTTAAACCAATAAATGTTCAGTTGTTTTTATTTGTAAAAAATTAAAATAAAGCTTACCTTTATTTAATTTGCTTTTATTTTTGAGAAACTGAAAACAAAGTTTTAAAAAAATTTGGCTATTAGTTAAAAAACAAATTTTTTTGAAAAAGGAAATATATCTTGAGTTTGCTTTTACTTTGACTTCTTTATTATTTTAATTGAAAAAATTAAGCAATGATATTGATATTATAGTAGAATATGTTTAGAATTAATATTTTCTTTTGTAATAGATTTATTCCTTTTTATATATTTTTGATTGATTTCCCATAGGTAATTTCTNTTTTGTTTAGTATCCTAATATTTTACTTCAAATAGTATGTTTTGATATAATCATGTTGGGAAAATGCAAGAATCTGTTCGTAAATATCTTTTAACAACTTTTTTCTAATTTTATTGCCCAAAAATGATTTAATTTTAAATTATAAGCAGTTAAACTCAAATAAAAATAGTTTTACCAAAACTATGGGTTTTTGACATGACGGTAAAAACCATGGTATAAACCGGTAAAAACTTGCCAACCCTGGTATCACGATTTAAAATTTCTGACATCAACCAATCCTTATCATAGTATTTGACAATTAAGATACAATTTAATTATTTGGCTACTATTTTTGATAAATTTTTGCTCCTGTTCAGGCAACTATTTTTATAGTTTTAGGCAACTATTTTCATGCTTGAAGCTACTAAAAGCAACTATTTTTGTTAATTTTTTACTGTGACAACCCTGTATTTGAGATTGTACTAAGGTATAGATTTTAGTAATCGATTGAATTAAAATTAAATGGTTACAGTAAAACGTTTCATTTACTGCTTTTATTAAAATATTTTTAAAAATTTCCTGCTTTTAAGAAGCGCAAATTATAAAGTTTTTGTAAATGCTATTGAAAACTTAAGTAAATGAATTGAAAATTAACTAAAGAGTCTCCACTTCATACCGAAGCATTCTACTTACAAATTGTCATCTAAAATCTTTAATTGTTTTGCAATATTTAAAATGCCCTGTTGGATAACAAATATATTTTTTACCAGTCACTGGGTACCTGTACCTGTTTTTGGACTCTGAGCATCACCATTCAAAAGTTATTGAGATATTTTGCTTTAATTTTTTTACCTGTACATTAGTTAGATGTTGTAACATGTTTGTTTTAAATGCCCATGCCGTACTTTGTAGGGCATGAAATCCACAATTGCTGGTCAAGCTGTGCTGAAAATGAATCCAGAAGTAAAAGTGGAAGCCCATCAGAACAGAGTTGGATCTGAGACAGAAGCAACTTACGATGACGATTTCTTCGAAGCATTGGATGGTGTTGCCAATGCTTTGGACAATGTAGATGCAAGTGAGTGTCAGTATTCCCTTATTTTTTTTTATTGTGTATGACCTCATAACTAAAAATTTATTTTTATGTTCTATAATAGGAACTTATATGGATAGAAGGTGTGTTTATTATAGGAAGCCCCTTTTAGAATCAGGCACTCTTGGTACCAAAGGAAATGTCCAGGTAAGAAGAGTTTAAACTAAATTTGATTCACTCATATCTATTTATCCTCAATTGTACAGATTATGCCTAATAAAATGTGAAGTCTGAGCTTTCAAAATAACAGATCAGACCCTGATGGGATTTCTTCATGAAAGTCTCCGTTGGCCTTGCATAAAAATCCCATTATTATCAATTTTGTTAAGATGGGAGATAAAAATCAATACTGGTGTTTATACAAATGAGGTATTGTCAATGTAATTTTCCTCACTTAATCAAATTAGACTAACCATGTGATAATATCGCAGCTGCCAACCTCTAGTAATAAAAATACAGAAGATTCGCAACTGTGTACTAATTACTAATAAATAACAAAGCAGATTTTAATTAATTATTTATAAATCCCCTATAATATAAGCATAAAAAAACTTTTGACCAGCTACTTGATGGTACAATATTCATTAATTCTTGATTAAAGGGAAATATGTAGTATTTTAAGACTTATAATAACTTTAACTTAATTACAATATAATATTATGCACAATATATAAACTTGATAGAAATTATGGAAAAAGAATAACAAAAAAAAATTGTTCTTCTGGTGTTTTGTAGATTATACGTGTCTGACTATATCAGTTTTACCACCATGCGCGATACTTAAGTCATTTTTACAAACGTTGCAGCGTACATCATGTACTCCAAGATTCAATCTAGAAATAAATAGTAATTCAAGAGCATAAGACTCCTTTAAGGCTTGTTTGTATTGTTTTCGCCCAGCATAATAAATTTACAAGATTAATCTAATGAGCAAATAATTATCACCATAAACCAATTTGTCATTTAAAAAGTGCTGCATTTTGCACTCATGCTTAAAATTAAGAGAATAAAGTGTCAGTAATCCATATTGATCTGTCATTTAGCTCATTTTATATTTAAAAAATGTGTTATGTAATAGTTATTCATTGTGTTTGCAGGTAGTGATCCCCTTCTTGACAGAATCCTATTCATCCTCACAAGATCCACCTGAAAAATCAATTCCTATTTGTACATTAAAGAATTTTCCCAATGCTATTGAACATACTTTACAGGTAAAAAAAAAATCTAAAATTTATTACTTTTTAGTGCTTTTTTTTTATGAAGAAATGACACTATTCAATTCTTCCTATCCTGTTTTACAAACTAGATTGAAGCTAGTAGAGTTTGTGATCATTTTCAAAATTTATTTATGCTTTAATCTTCCATACACTTGAAAGAATCAGCGAAAGCGACAAAAAATTTTATGTTGAGATAAATTACTCGTGTGATAACTCCTAAACTATTTATTGCATAAATAATTTTTTTATCAGTTTGAATTTGTTTTGTTTTTTCAATTGCACAGCGATTCTGAGCTAGACATTCTAATGATTTGTATGTTCTTTTACAGTGGGCCCGAGATGAGTTTGAAGGACTTTTCAAACAGGCTGCAGAAAATGCCTCCTTATATCTTACGTAAGTGTTCTTTGTATTGTCTTGTTTTTCTAAATCCTTTTTAAATTAGTAAAATTACTTAGAAAATTTAGTAAAGAAAAGAAGAAGAAAAAATGCTTCAGGAAAAACTTGGAAATCTTTAGGACAAAAAAAGTTTTAAAAAATTCTAGGAAAAAAAGGAATTAAAAACTTTTCAAGCTTATCCTTTTCACCGGAAAAATTTATTACAAAAACTCTCCCCCAAGAATATTGCAAGCATTTTAGAAACAGGCAAAAGTGTATTTTCGTGCTTTTAACATTTCATAAATTTTTACTAACATATTTAACATTTTATCATTATATTTTTTTTATTCGGTGTACTGCCTTGATGTTTTTAAGGGCCGCCTGCCCTTACTGCTCTTTGATCCCAATAAATACGCCCTCTTCACTTTTTTTGTAACTGAGTTGCCAATTCAGGGCAAACTTGTAAAATACATTGAATTTAAAAATCTAAAATAACAGGGAATTTCGATTTTCTGCGAACTGAGAACTTAGTTTTGTTTCTTATTTTGGTCTTTTCAAAAATAGTGGCTACTCAAAACGTAATCTAGTACGTAAACGGGTGGATATTTAAGGATATCTCAGCTATACTAAACTGTTTCATTTATTATATCATTGCTTAAGTGTGTTCAGCTGTTCCTTTTTTTTCCTCTAATTTTTCCTGCAATTAAAACTAATAAATATAGTTAGCCCAATATAGCTCACACTTTCTATTAATATATTGTGCATAATATGTGCAGGAAAAACAAAGGAATTTTTTTTTCTCCAGATCTGAGTGGCAACCCTGAAAAACACTACCTCTTTATACATATTTGAAGAAATTCACTTATTTTTGAAGAAAATTAATTCACTGTTTAAATAATAATTACTCACTGGTAAAATTATCTTCAATCGGTTTAGTAGGAGGTTGTATATCTGTTAATAGGTTTAATTCTGATTACTGTTACAAATATTTGCTTTGTTAGGATTGTTCTCAACTGAACTTTTTAAAAGTATCTCTTTTTGAGGGAAGTAGATATTAATAAATTTTGGAAGTGATTTTAAATCTTATTTTTTAACTAAAAAAAAATTTTTTTTTTTTAATACCGCAAATTTTTCTTTTATTTTGATAATGAGATAGAATAAATTTTTGAAATATACACATAAAACGGTAAAGAAGGTAATTACAAAATTCAGATTTTACACAATATTACACATTTTAAATTTTTGCAGTGTTAAGTGAGGGTCCTTTTAAAACTCAAAGTGCCGTTTTCAGAGAGGAAACATCCTACCCTTTACTCAAGATTTTTAAACTCTCAATTGCTTTACTACGAATAAATTTTATGCCAAACTCTGACAGTTTTATTATTTTTTAAACCTTTATCTGTTTAAATATTTATAATATTTACGCTACTATTATAATCTGAGAAGAGATTGTGGAAAATCTTATGATTTTATTTGTTGCTCTTTTTAAAATGATCCCTGAGAATGTTTTTCAATCTTTCATTAAAAAATATGTAATGATTTATTATCCTTTGCAGAGATCCATCCTTCATTGAAAGAACATTAAAACTTGCTGGTAATCAACCGGTGAGTTCCTTTTCAATAAATTTCTCTACTTTATTAGTTATGCACAGTTTTTACAAATATTTAAAAAAAAGAAGGAAAAAAATTAGTACCATGACAAATATATTTTGTTCTTTGTTAACATAAAACTCACTTGTAAATTATTTATAGATTGAAGCAATTGTAATAGATCATTATTTAGTAATATACATAAATTTGTCATGGCCATTTTGAAACGAAAAAGAAAAGTTGTAGCTTATCTGCAAAAATTTAATTTTTCATAAATTTAATACAATTGTGTACATGTAGAAATAGGATTTTTCAAATTAAATTATTCATCAACTTAGAAGAGCTGCTGATTTTGCTACCACGATGCAAGATCTGAGACTATTATTTGAGAGACTTACAATTATACAGTGCGTAAATCGACAATGTAATTGCATAGTCTTTCCTCTCTCATAACACTATCTTGTAATATAAATGTTTTAGCCAGGGTGAGAAAAAATTATTTTAAATAAAGAAGATTATTTTGGTTCTATTTCTTCTAAAATAAATTGTTTCTTTTATCTTTTAATATTGTTAAATTACCTAAATGCTAAAGTTTGTATTAAACAGTTTTAAAAAAAATAATGTGTTTCTTTTTTCCTTTTGGTGAGCAATCTATAGAAAATAAGTTTTAAAAATTTTTTTGATTTTTCCTTATTCATAAGAATTTTTTTTTTTCCATTCATAACTAAAAGACAGACAATTTCAGCAAATATTTAGCTGTTATTCGTTTTAAATGTTTTACAACTGTTGATATTAAGATTGGCCCTGTAACCAACTAGCTATAAGTTAATTCTCAGTAGTGGCACCCTAGTGGTCAATGATGAAACTTTTCAACGAGATCAATACAAGTTCTGAGTCCTATGCATAAAGATGACTTTTTCTCCAAGATTAGTAATTTTTTTGTTCCCTTCATGTTAAATTGTTTTTTATTTTATGTTGTGTGCATATTTTGCTACATGCTACTACATTCCTTTAGTATAGCAAAGCAACAATGATAGCACACATAGATTTAAAAAAATGCTTTTTTGTTTCTGTATGAGCTAAAAAATTCTGTTGTACCATTACCTATTCAAATGAGTGGCTGAAAATTATTGAACAAGCTGAAATTTAATTTTTTTTTATTTATACTAAGTGATTTTTATGTTTACAGCTAGAAATTTTAGAAAGTGTAAAGAGAGTCCTGATTGATGATAGGCCAGAAACTTTTGATGACTGCATCATTTGGGCTCGTCTCCACTGGGAAGATCAGTATAATAATCAAATTAGGCAATTACTTTTCAACTTCCCTCCTGATCAGGTAAGTTAATGGCTTAGTCTTTGTTTTGCAAAATTAACTCACTTATTTTAGAGTTATTTTTAAAATTCCATTTCTTTCTCTAGGTAACAAGTACTGGTGCTCCATTTTGGTCTGGTCCAAAACGTTGTCCAAAAGCTTTAACATTTGATGTTAACAATGTAAGTGTGTTAAATATTTGAAATTTTTGTCTAATTGTTTTGATGTATTTTATACAATTGCAGATGTAGTGAAAATATTTTTATGGCAATAACAACTATTCTAAGCATTTATAACTAATCCATACTTAGTTATTAAACTTTAGTTAAAGAATTTGTGTTTATTTGTTTTCTAAACATGCAAAGTGAAAAATTAAAAAGAGGGTTTAAGATACCTTTTTTTTAGCATATTAAAGATAAAGTAAAAACTAGTGTTTTATCCATCTATTGACATTACAATAGTTATTATTCATTTTGTTAGGTTGACTGAGTAATAATTTAGTGTTTGATAGTTAATTATACCTTAAACTTAAGTATTTATTTTAAATGATTTTGTATTATAGTACAGGGTGCGTAGCGTTTGTAAAAAGTACTTAAAGGTTCTTTTTTGGGGATTTCGTTTTTAAAAGCTTTTAAAGGTGCTTTTTTCAGCTGGTGTTTTTAAAAAGTGCTTTTTTTCCACAAATTTTTTTTCTTTTCTTCAGTGATATCTGGCGGATCCCCACTTTTTTGACGTAGGGGGTAAGGGTACTTTTGTTCTGAGTTCAGGGTCAAGTTGAATTCACTCGAAGATGTGGGAAAGTACTGATTGTTTCGATTTACGTCCATTTCTTTTTGGGTTTTTTTTTAACTCTAAAACTCTTTATAAGAAGTTTTTGTTTTTCAATAATATCATTGATTGAATATGAATTTTTTGAGTGCTTGAAAATTTTTGTAAAGTGCTTGAAAAGTTTTTAAAAAGTGCTTATTTTTGATTCAAAGATTTGACTACGCACCCTGTAGTATGAAAAACTTAGTTATGAAGTAATTATATTATTTATTTATGATCCTTTATGAACACAAACGGTTGCTATGGTTTTGCATACTCTCATACTAATTATTAGTGGCGGAGCTTGCCTTTTTCGAGCAATAGCAGATATATTGTAGGATACTTAAGTTATGGCTCCAGATGTGTATGATGAAGTACTACAACACTTAATGAAGTATTGGAATTAGTTATCTATCTCATCTCATGATAAAGATGAAAATAATTTTAATACATCTGCTGAAACTGATACTTAACAATGGTCTGTGTGATTGAGACGTATCACACAAAAATGAGTGTCTGATAAGGGAAATAATTTTGAGCTGAGTGACTAATTCTTTTCATCTTCTCTACAGCTGGTTGTGATTATCCTAAGAACAACTCCTGACAACTATTATTGATTTGTTTTGCTAGCAAATAATGTAACTAGAAATTGAAAAGTAGCACAGAAAAATTTAATTGCTTAAAAGCTCTAAAAAGTTTTAATTTAACCTTTTAGATTAAGGGGAGGTTATGAATTTAAGGTTGTCATTTAAGCTATTTAATGTTCCTTTCTTTTCTAATATTTTCTGTTTGATTTGTTATTCTGACTAAACATTTAATTTCTATAAGTTAAGAGCATTTCAAAATTCTCTAAATTTATTCTTATTTCAGCCACTTCACTTGGACTATGTAGTGAGTTCTGCTAATCTTAGAGCTTTCATGTATGGCCTTCCAGAAAATAGCGATAGAAGTTACATTGCTGCTGTTACTAGAAAAGTGGAAGTGCCGGAGTTTGTACCCCGATCTGGTATTAGAATCGCTGTGACAGACTCTGAGGCGGCAGATAACAGTGCTACAGGTAATTGGATAAACAAAAATATTTAGAAGCAAAAGGTGAATTGATTGTAGTACAGTAGGGAACCGATTATCCGGAATGATCGGGACCATCGCTATTCCGGATAACTGATTTTTCTGGTTTTCTGAATCGCTACAAAAAGCAGTTTTTTTTTTTTATTGTTAAACCCAGCTAAAAAAAATATTTGGAAATAATCTTAAAAAGATGAAGTAATACACTAATGAACATTTCCAAAATGATGGTAAGGTTAACGTCTTTCAAAAAAGAAAAAAAAATTCTGAAATCTTATGAGGAAAAATTTATTATTTTTTAAATGGCGGGAAAATTTATCAAATTTCGTTCCGGTTTTTTGGTTTCCGGATAACGGGTTCTGTACTGTATAAAAGCAGGGTTTCTTAGAATAAAACTAAACCCTTTTGGATAAGCTTTTTCAACTGGGCTGTGCAATATTGCATTAACTATTTTATTATTAATCATATATTTTATCTATTATACAGAGTTTTCTTTAATAAACAGTGTGAAACATCTGCATTTATAGGGGGGAGGAAACAAATGTCTAAGAAAAACAAAGCATTTCCCAACTTTGATTAACCAAAATGGTGATCAATGCAGACAAGGAATAACCACGCTGGTGCAGTGGTGTCTTATAGCCCAGCCATCTGAAAAGTAAATGTGACATGTGCAGAAATACAATTAATTTACTGTCACTCTGTTTGCTTCGAAATTATGGAACTTTAAATATCTTATTTAGAAAGAAATTGAAGGTTGCTAAGAAACAATTTTAATCCTTCTGCTTGTTATAAAAATGATCTGTTATTTACATTAATTAGAATATATTTTAACTTAAGATTTTATTTTTTTTAGCTGACATTGATAGGTTATCTCAAATACAAACTGATTTGCCTAATAATTCTGTACTGAAAATTAAAATTCAACCTATTGAATTTGAAAAAGATGACGACACAAATTTTCATATGGACTTTATTGTTGCTGCTTCCAATCTTAGGGCAGAAAATTATGGCATCTCACCTGCTGACAGACACAAAAGCAAGTTGATTGCGGGTAAAATTATTCCTGCAATTGCTACTACTACTGCGATTGTATCTGGCTTGGTTTGTCTGGAACTCTACAAGGTATATTGCTGATGATTTTTTATTTAAACTTTTTTAATATTACTTTTCTATTTGTTAATAAATGAAATAACTGTGATTTTATGTGTAAAAAGGAAAAAACATTTTCAATATTTTTTTTTTCATTAATAAGGATGAGTCTTATGTGCTTAAAACATAGTTAAAAATCATCAGAGTATAATAATATTAAAATATAGATGTGTAGAAACATTTTTGGACAAAAGTACTGTAAGTTTTTGTGTATTCAATCAAAAATATTGATAAAAAATTCAGTAAATAGTCAAAGTAAACAAATTAAGTTTTATGTATGTGATCATTTCGCACAATTGGGGTAATTATGGCGGCTTTAAAAAAAAAACATTTAATACATTTTGAATAATGGTTTGTGATCTTTTCGTTCTTTGAGAAGATAGAAAAAATAACTAACCTTTTAAGTTATCAATTTTAAGTTCATGTGTGATCTTAACTACCCAGTGCTGCCACAAAAAGGGAGTAATTACATTATGACTATACACTTTCAGGTAATAAACTTTAGTAAAAACAGGAAATGAGTAGAAGCGGTGGAAAATTGTGGTTAAACTAATTTACTTTTACCACAAAATTTGCTTCTAGAATTGAAATCATTCTTGCTCAGATGTGTCTAATCTATTTTTCAAATATTTGAATAGTTATAAATAATTATATATTACTCATTATTTTTATCTAAGGTGATGTNAATTACATTATGACTATACACTTTCAGGTAATAAACTTTAGTAAAAACAGGAAATGAGTAGAAGCGGGGGGAAATTGTGGTTAAACTAATTTACTTTTACCACAAAATTTGCTTCTAGAATTGAAATCATTCTTGCTCAGATGTGTCTAAACTATTTTTCAAATATTTGAATAGTTATAAATAATTAATTAGATATTACTCATTATTTTTATCTAAGGTGATGTTATTGCAGCATAATATCCACATAAAACTTGATGAAACATTTTCCAAATTTTTGCCCTGGACTAGTTTTTTTATTATTTTTAAAAAAAAAAATGTTACAAAAAAATGGCACTGGTCGCAACTATCTCACATAATCCTAAATGTTATATTTAACACCACTTTTTTTTAAAAGATTCTATAGAGGAGCAATAGGAAATTATACCTTTAAGTCACATTTTAAATTCGTCCAAAAAAAATTACGATTTCTATATTGACAATTAGATGTTTCTGTTGTTGTATTGAGAAAATAATGGAATCTATAAAGTATAAATGTAATGGGATTATTGCAGGCAAAGAATGCTATTTTTACAGTATTGTCTTAAGATTAATATTTAAAATTTTGTTTAATTATCTGAGAAGAAAGTTATATAATTCTTTTCATTAATTAATGATTTTACTATAGCACAATAATTTGCTTTCTATAAATTTGGTGTGTTGATTGTAGTGCTCTTTTTATGAACACTCATTTTTAATGTTAATATTTTTCAGTTAGTTCAAGGTCACAAGAAACTCGAAACTTACAAGAATGGTTTTATAAATCTTGCTCTGCCTTTCTTCGCATTTTCTGAACCTCTACCTGCTCCTAAACAAAAGGTTTTTTAATTTCATTATTATTTTGAAATTATTTCCCACTACCTAGCCATATAATGTTTGACTGTAGTATAATATTTGTAAAGTACATTTAACATATTTCATATTATTCTTTAGTATGTTAAACTTTTTAAAATTTGACTTTGAAATGAGTTATTTTTCCAATTATAATAAACTGCACTGTTAAAACTTTTTGAAAAATAGTACTTACAAATATTTTTTAATTAGATATTCTCCTTAAAAATGGCTAGTTATTGTAACATTTTAATTTTTGTCCAGTGAAAGATATCTTTAGTTGTGGCATGTGGCATTTTTAAAGTAAAATTTTTTTCTGCTTCTAGTATTATGATACGGAGTTTACCCTTTGGGACCGATTTGAAGTGACTGGTGAATTGACATTACGAGAGTTCTTAAAACATTTCAAAGTAGGTTACTTGTTTTTCTGAATAATCTAGAGATGATTTGTGCTGTTAAATTTTTTGTTATTTAATTTTTAAATTTTTTTTAATCCCTTTCCTTTAGACTGAATACAATCTAGAAATTACGATGCTCTCTCAAGGTGTCTGCATGCTTTACTCTTTCTTCCTTCAAGAGCAAAAAAGGAGAGAAAGATTAGATCTTAAGTAAGTTCATCCATTCATTACTTAGAGTTGGATGATTATTTACCCATAAGACACGTGAATTTCATATTTAATTTAGATTTACTTCATAAAAATGCTAAACTTACAAAACAAATGGTAGAATAGGTTAATTCAAATAGACATTAATTTGTGTCGAAAAACTACCTAATCAGAAGAAGAGGAAATATTGTAATTCGGCTCTGTAACTTGTGTGGAAAAACAATACTAAAGCCACAAGCACTTTTTTCAAAATGATTTGTTATTAGCTTTAGTAAAAATATTTCAGAAATATGCGACCCACAAATTTTATTCCATTACTTAGTGATATATATCTAATTTTTCAATTAAATCACTAGTTTTAATTATATGCTCAATACTTTTTATCCAATGTGCTATAAAAAAAATTAAATTATATCAGAAATATCACAAAGAAATTGTATCAGAATGTTTAAAACCTATAGTTTATGTCCTAAAGGTTTAAAAAAAATTATGAAATTTCATTAAAACTAGTAATTGTAAACTTCACATAAGTTAAGATTTTTTTTTTTTTTAATTTGTGAATGAAACTTTATTTTTAGATAATATTTTCTATTTGTTTTAATAGTTTAAAAAAATTTCTTCTATCTATATTGCTGTATAATTTTAATTATTATCAGAATAACATTATTTGTCTTTAATAAATTTCAATGCTTTTGAAATTGCATTTAAAAAAAACTATCTTAATGTCTTACTAATTCTTAAATTCATAAATTTTTTTAACATGGCATGTAATGCAAGTTATTACTTTTTAAAAATGGACCCACCTCGTGTTTCCATCATTTATCAGCAACTATTAACCATTTTTTTCTGTACTTTCCATTTCATCTTCTAAAATCTGATTATTTTTTAATATATGATAGTGGCCTGGTCCAACTTTGGCGAACCCTTTTAATTAATACAATTATATCAGTACTTACATTATAATAAGATTGATTTTTATTGGTTGATTTTCTTTTTTGAGAAAGGTAAATAATTGACACTGCCACTGATGGCATATGTATATTCGATGATAAACAATCATACTATTTTTAAGGTCCTTAATTTTTCAAAAAAGTCCTTAATTTTTGCTTTGTTAAAAGAGTGGGTATTGTGTAATAATAATTTTTATTACAGTTTTAAAAGTATAATTAATTATAAGCAAAAATTTTATACCCCTGTTCATTCTTTTATTATTTTTTAGAATGAGTGAAGTGGTGGAGAAAGTATCGAAACGTAGAATAGAACCTCATGTCAAAGCTTTAGTGTTTGAATTGTGCTGCAATGATGCAGATGGTGAAGATGTTGAAGTACCTTATGTCAGATATACACTACCATGAAGCAATAAGCAACATAGTATTTGTATCTAATTCCGAGGTAACACCAATGAAATTTATTTGTGTATATTCTTGAATAGTTTGCTCTCTAACTGCTTACAAAATCAAAATTGTGTTGAATTTAGTTGTGAAGTAGGCCCTCACAGGGGATTATATTTGTTGATGCAAATGAGGGAGTGTAAGCAATACCTAATTAGAAAGTTAATCTTTTAATTAGCTTGTTTTTGCTAAATAGAGAAGAGGTCCAAAATTTTATTTTTGCATTATATGACCTGCTTCAAATACTTCCTGATTATAAACTTTTTATGCTTTATTAATATTTTCAACAATTTTAAATTCATTGGTGTCTACTAATTAACGTGAAAATGTTTACTTAATATCTAAACCTAATACTTAATGTACAAAGAGGAGAAAAAATGCACCTTGGAAAAGAAAAATTGTATAGCAAAAATGTGTTGAAGTATCGAGAAGATTGATACAGGTCGAACATAGTTCCATTTTGTGTATGAAACTTGTATAGACTGGCTCAAACCAGTATTTTAATTTTATAGAATATTTGCCTTTTTAAAACTAATCGTTTCATCAGATATTGGTAAATGTATCAGAAAAACAGTAGGTTCAAATTAAAGTTATATATTAGAAATTGCTTTTTATTTTGGACTATAGGAAATATGTTATGCCTGTATTGGCAAGACAAGGGATTAAACTGGTGCAAAAATCAATTTCAGTTGACAATAAATTTCTTATTAGTTATTTTTATTTAACTTTATGTGAGCTGCCTTAGTCTTTAATAAAGAAATTTTCACAAATGAATTATATCTTGATTGTCGCTAATCATCAGAAGGTATACCTTAAAATTTCTGCTAATTTTGAATTGATGATTTGATAATTTTTCATTCTTTAAAATAGCCTTTGTACTTACCAACCCTATATTTACTTTTACTAATTGTGTATTTTCCCCCCTTTTGAATTAGATTTACAGAAAACTAATGGCAAGTGTCAGAAGAAAAGTGCATAGGACTTTTTATTTCAACAAATTGTTCCTTTGTGGAGAAAGTGTGGATTAATAATATTTTTGTCTCTTCATCTTTTATATCCACCAGATTTTATATTTATTTCCATGCTTATTTATCTGGCTGATTTTTTATGCCAAAAATTTTGAAGAAAATGTTTTGTGTTACAACAACTTGCAGTCTTAACTACTACTACTAATAATAATAAAGTTTTCATCTTTTTTAAATGTGTCGTGTCTCTCATTTCTCAATATTTCAAAGTGTGGCAAATACTTACCATGAAAGATTTCAACAATTTTATGTCCTTTCTGCTTTTGTTGTGAACTTGATGGTAACCTTTCATATGCAGGCTTCCTCATTACTTGAATTTGTCATTACTTCTCAATTCTAGTGATAAAAGAATAAGAGCAATCTTATTTAGGAATTTTAACTTAATAAATTGATAATTTAATGTTTTGTTTTTGTAGAATGTTGGGGATGATTTCTTGTGTGAAAGGGAGTTTTTTTTTTATTTATAAATTATGAACTATATTAAGATCAGATATTAAGCGTCATTAGTAGTCTTGGAATGACAAATTGGATTCTATTGTAGTAAAGAACAGTATTTCCTCTCTAAAATTGTTCAACACAAAACAATTATTTTTAATTAAAACAATATTTCTAATTTTCTTTTACTTTGAATGTTTTCCTTGATTTCATAAAACAAAATGGTGCAGAAGTGTTTATTAAGAACATCTTTAACTTATGAAAATATAGTTGAGGTTTTAACAGGGTGCGTAGCGTTTGTAAAAAGTACTTAAAGGTGCTTTTTTGGGGATTTCGTTTTTAAAAGCTTTTAAAGGTGCTTTTTTCAGCTGGTGTTTTTAAAAAGTGCTTTTTTTCCACAAATAATTTTTTTTTCTTCAGTGATATCTGGTGAATCCCATGCATTTCACGAAAAATGGGGTGTTTGCTACGTAATCATTCACGCGGACTTCATGTCGTACCCACGATATGACTTGCGCATGCGCGCACACTTAAAACCGAAACCCGAGTGCTCCAATTCGGATAGAGAATATCAGATCCTTATGAAATGTTTTTCTTTTTAATTTAATTAAATTTTATTCTTGTTTATTTTATTTTACTTCTAACACTTTTTGACGTAGGGGGTAAGGGTACTTTTGTTCTGAGTTCAGGGTCAATTTGAATTCACTCGGTGATGTGGGAAAGAACTGATTGTTTTGATTTACGTCCATTTCTTTTTGGGTTTTTTTTAACGCTAAAACTCTTTATAAAAAGTTTTTGTTTTTCAATAATATCATTGATTGAATATGAATTTTTTGAGAGCTTGAAAATTTTTGTAAAGTGCTTGAAAAGTTTTTAAAAAGTGCTTATTTTTGATTCAAAGATTTGGCTACGCACCCTGTTTAAGTTCTAGTAAATTTTTAAAGATAGACTAACTTCTAATTTATAAATCTTTATGAGAATAAATAGACAAACCCTTAACTTATTTTTCCATTTTTAGAGGAAACCTACCTTGTAAGAGAAAATTTGCAGTTTAATTATTTTTGAACTTTTATTAATTTGGTTGATCGTAAGACAGTTCACGGCTTAGTTTAATTAGAACAAAACTATTACCAGTCGGGACTGAAATTTTATTTTATAGCAATCCTTGAACAGCCTACCCAATTTTTGGATTTAAGACTACTAATGTTCAACTCCGTAGCTTTGTAGTCTTGAACCCAATTCAGAAGACAAGTGAATTCCTTGTTCAAGTATCAGGAGAAATTGGCCTTCGTTGGGGACTTTTTTGATGGAACTAGCCCACATTTGTATTACATGGAGAGGAAAACCTCCCACAGTTAGCCTTGCGGCAAAGGGATTTTTCTAACAGAGTTAAGCATAGCTTCCCAATTATTTTAGCTTTATTCATAAGCAGCTCAAAGTTAACCAATTTTTATTTGGAAATAGCATGTTGATCATGAGTAGAAGGGATGATCAATCACACAAAATTAATTCAAGAACCCAATCTAATTATCAAAGATAGTAAACTTAAGCCTTTGTTTACTTTAGAAAATGCAAAATAATATGATTTTTTTCATAATATACTATAACTTAAGCATTCATTATAGGAAATGTTCTCTTACATTACATCTTCATTCCTTTTCTATAGCTTTTATTCTGTAATAGAATAACAAGTCATTTGAAATTTGCAGAATATTTCTGTAAGATTTGAATTCAAAATCCTTTTTGGACAAGAATTATTTTAATAGTGCTGTTTATAATGAATAAAAGTAAACCAGTTGAATTTTAAAAAGTGCAGAGAAGTATCCCTAACTAGTAGATGTGAATTCTGCTCCTAGGGATATCTCTGTAAAGATGTCTCACCAACCAAAGTGCTGACGTCAGGAACCGTTCACTTGTATTATCGTTCACATAAATTCACGTAAGTGAATTCGGAGATTGGAGTAAGAACTTGATTGGTGGAATGACCTGGAGAAATCTCACCAGTCGGGCTTCTCGTTCTGATCTTCGAATTTGCTTACACAATTTTTTTTTCTCAGTGCAGTTAGAATGACCCTTAAATTATTCTCAGTGGTAAATTGAATACGGATTAGAATCCGTTTGCCTTAAGGCAAATCATTTAGCTTTTTCGTGGTTTTCTGAACTTAGTGCAGATAGAAGTTAGTTCCATCAAAAAGTCCTCCACAAAGGCTAGTTTATCCCAATGCTTGATCTAGGAGTTCTCTTGTCTTTCGGGCTGGGCTAAAAAAAGACTAAGGACGTGATCATTGGTAGTTGTAAACCTGAAAATAGGTTGGTTCTTTAACACCGGTTATTATACAAAATAACATCTATGAACCAAAGTGTAACATTTTGCAAATGTCTGTGGGAGCGGGGATTCGAACCCAGTTCACCACATTGGAAGGCGAACGTTCCACCACGGCTCTAACATCAATTATTAGTGGTAATAGTATCAATTGGTGATGATTTTAAGGTGGTTAATCGTCAAAGTAGATCCTTGGCTGAGCCAATGTATTTTTGTCAAACATAATTTCTATCACCAATTTTCTTCTTTACCTTTTTCAAATTTTTGGAAACTGAAAGCGTCTTAAAAACCAAATTTAGAACTGATTATTGTTTGTGATTAACATATATTCTTTTGTTCTTAAACATGCCTTAATAGTCAGCATCAGTATTGAATTACAAGTTAGACTTGTAGGGATCTAATAAATCATCAATAAACTAAAAAAATACATTAATAGGTAACAGACGAGACAATTTTCTAAAATTATTTATTATTTATTTTCCACCACATGTACACACATGTTTTCTGGTTTATCATGGAGGGCTCAAATATTGAATATAAAAAGGTATATTAGTATTCTAAGTATATTCTTTGTATCCTATGTATATTCTTTGGCTCGAAAATGGTTCACAGACTTACTTTTTGTATTCCATGCACCACTTAATAAAGTTACACTTTTCTGTGTGAATGTTTTATCACACACACATAAGGTTTCTCATCAGTATGAATAAGATAGCGTTCATTTAAATTTCCTTTCTGTGTGAATGTTCTATCAAACATATTGCATGAAAAAGGTTTCTCTCCAGTATGAACAAGAGAATGTGCAATTAAATTAGATTTTTGTGAGAACCTTTTATCTCAAACACTACATATATAAGGTTTCTCATCAGTATGAAGGAGATTGTGTCCGTTTAAAACTCCCTTGTGTCTGAATGATTTACCACAGACACTGCATGAATAAGGTTTCTTTCCAGTATGCACAAGAGAGTGTCGATTCAAGTTTCTTTTATTTTTATATGTTTTATCACACAGATTACATGAATATGGTTTCTTTCCTATAAAAAAAAAAAAAGAAAGTTCATTTAAATGACTTTCCTGTGAGAAAGTTTTCATCGCCCATGCTGCATAAATCGGACTTTTCTGTAAATAGAACAAGATAGTTTAAATTAGATTTGTATGAACGATTGATTGGAACACTCTGCAGGAATGAAGTTTTTCACCAGTTGGTGCAAGAGATGACTTTCATACAAAAGATGAATATTTTATGTAAACTGTCTCTTTAAATTAGATTTTGGTGAGAATGTTTTAACGCAACCAATGATGAATAAGACTTTTCTCTGCTGTGAACATGACGGTATTAACTTGAACTATTTTTTTTTTTTATACAATAAAGATTATTCATAAATACATTGCAGGAATAAGGTTTATCTTCTTTAGTATAATATATATGCAGATTTATAAAATTTCACTTATTTGTGTAAATCCACTTATTGACTCTAAAAAGTTGGTAAGAGGCTGGTCAACATAAAAAAATCACCTTTTTGAGAATCCAAAAATCTTCATAAGCAATCTTTCAACCAAAGATTGTTTTTTAAATGATTATTGCCTAGTACGGAATCATGAAAACAATATTTAAAAGTGGCTGTCGTATCATCTACAAGTGATTATCATTAGTAACAGCTCTGGCAGTAACAGACAGGACACTTCACGTGGACAACACAAAACAATTAATATAAATCAAGAAATATACACAGACAACCCCTCTTAAAGGAATACAGCCAATATTAATACAGCTTTATTGGATTAAAAGTGGAGTACTTTATTCAATTTTAAATACTTAATTAGACTTTTAGAGCTTGCGCATTCCTCCCAAATACTTCATTTTTTTTATTTATTTATATATCCTCGATACTTGAGAAATTCCAAAATAATTTGCCATTTCAGTTAGGGATTTTTGAAATTTGTTTCTTCAAAACTTCTCTATTTTTTCTTTTACGATCATTTAAAATCATCCCTTTTCACACTCATCTTGTATTCACTAGAGTAAGCAATAATTATTCTACTTTAGAGAAAGACGCACTGTAGACTAAGCGTGTTGGGTTTTTGAAACTTTTTCTTGTCAAAGCTAATAGCACACCAGGGGACCATAAGTCCTCACGGCGAAACAAATCTCTCTGTACCTTTTTGCTTTCTAAATTATGTGTGAGTGAAGTAAATCAATGAGGGATGGAAACCCCTCATTCACCCCTAATGAATAACTGCCTGCAAGATTTGAATAATTCTTAAGCTATACTCCTAACACCTGTTCAGAGCAACAAATGAACAGGAAGTCCCTGTTGATGTGACTACCTGCTGTATTCTTATCTTCTTAACTGAAAATTTCATTCTAGCTGGTGAAACATTTCTTAATTTTTTTTTTTCATTTCAGTACCTCTTCTT